TATAATCCGAAAGCAGCATCTACACGAATATGAGGACCACAGCAATGCATCATTTACTTGGGTGGATCAAATCTCCAAGGGATTTTTGAAGAAACCCTCACCCAGTTTCCTCCGTAGCGTGCAGTGTTTGGAAACGGTATTCCATAAGTTGAACTTATCGGAAATCCTACACTGCAAAAGTATCAAACAGCGCTTGCTGGATCACAGCACACACGTCGACCTTCCTGAAGATGTAAAATGTTTTTTTTCAAGTGCCGCATCTTTTTTCGCATTCGCCATTTAAATAAACGCCTCAAGGAGCAGAAAGCAAAGGAGAGGGTGGGGCGATACAAGAAACTGAGTAAAATAACACTCTGAACTGGTAAATTAAAGAGATTTAGTTATGTTAAATAAATATACATTTTATTTTTATTTCAGCAGTCCAATACAAAAATTTTGCTGCCAATAATTTTTGCTTTTGGTGAGTGCATTCTCAGAAAAAATTATTAATGTTTAATAACTCTAAATTCGGATGAATAAATGTCTAAATTGCTTTGAAACCATTTACAATTTGATAAATCATATAAATTTATTTAATTTCAGGTAAACACTTAATATTTTGCAGGTTCTTTTTAGAGCCGCAAAATGTTACAAAGAGATGGTTTTTTTAAAGATGCTTGGACACACTAAAGGCCCTTTTTAGGGCCACAAAAATATTCACAAAGAGATCGAAAATGTTTTAAATGGAATATATTTGTAATAATTGCTTTTTCCCAGCTCTGGGTGCGTTCAGAAATGGATCAAGCCAAAGCATCAGTCTCGGTTATTTCTTAACTCTAATTGATGGAAATGTCAAATATGGGCAACCACGGAAAAAAGCCGAGTTTGAACTTAGCTGCAAAAATAGGACAATAATAGTTTAGAAATAAAAGCTACTGATGCTTTTGGCTTGATGCATTTCTGAACGCACTCTCTGCTAGCGTGGAGGATCACCCTTCACCACCTGGAACAAATGCATGAGAATTCTTAGAAAATCTACAGCTAAATTGATATCTATATCATTTATGCATGTCTTAAAATAACAAGGATTGTCACGCCTGCTGAATATCTTGGCAGCTCACCTTAAAATTACCAACTGCAAATTCAATACTACAACTGCTCGAACTCCGAATCCCATATAGGATATGGAAACACTCCGGTAGCAACTTCCATCAACGATATGCCCAGCGACTACACATCACTCCACACATCATAAGCCTTAGCGCGCTCTGGATCTATGCGTTCCGGCTGGAAAATATATTAGCCATTAATGAATTTGAAAATAGTTTTGCACAACAAAGCTACAAAAACAATTTATAAGGGCACGGTTTAGTTATTTGTAGAACGATTTTAGGCTGCTGTACCCAAACGCAAGACCCGAATCAAAAAACCTTTACTTTATTAATAATTTCGGTTTGAAATATAGTATTTTGTGCATATTTCCGAGGTGAGCTGTCAATATAAAAAACTCTCTTTCGTTTAAGGGGAAGGTTTGGGGGCCATGCCACCACCCCCTCCTCCCCCACCCCAAATCGTTGTACAAATAACTAAACATTTTCCATTTATAACTCACCATCATGTACGGCCGACATCCTGCATCTTTAGTCTCCGCAATTGACTCCGCCTCCGTAATTTTTGCAAGTATCCACTCGGGTATGCGCTGCTGTTTACACTCGTAAATGTATTTACAAAATTTGTCCATCGAGGTATCCATTAATTTTATCAAATCCAGCAGTCGCCTTCTATGAATAGCGCTCCACAGAATTGCACTATATAGGGTCAGGCGTTTAAATTCATCACCACTTCCAAATCCATAAGTAATTGCTTCAGTTCCTTTTCATCGAATGTGGAGCGTATGCGTTTCACTGCCATTGCCTTGCCTACTTTGAATATCATCTTGTTCACAGTGCCAAAACCACCCCGACCAATTTCACCTATATCAGTTAAATCATCTGATGTAAACTCTTTACTGGTCAAATAAATGTGCCTTAAATTATTCCAACCGGCAAACAAAATGTTTACATATTTTCTTTGATTGTTGGTGCTGGTACTGCTACTGGTGCTGGCGGCGGGCAGAAACGTTACACTAAATTGTGTGAAGAGGAACTGGAGCAAACGATAAAAAAAATTGGACGAAGCTGAACCAGACTGAGTTGATGAAATTGAAGGTGGTTGGCGTCGTCCGTGGTGCAGGTACAAGTACAGGTGTGATCCTTTTCGATTTTTCCACATACAGCAGTTGGCAAAAGCAATGGATGAAGTAAGATCCGCAGATGCACCGGTCAAAAGATGTTGGTGGGCACATTTGTTGTTCCTGCTCCACAACGCTCGTAACTACAAAATAATGAAAGAATTATTAGTTAATAATGTTGCTGGTCATATTGTGCATCTAGCTGCCAATGCAGACCGTTGAAATTTCCTTTGGAAACCTTATAAATTTAAGATACAAATTTTTGTACTCACGTTTCTGATTCTGCCGATCATTTTGCTTGTTACTTCAATTGTCAAACTCAGCAAATTTGACGTTTCTTGACTTGCCGGCCATTTTGCTTTTTTCTTCAATTGTCAAACTCGGCAAATTTGACATTTCTTGTTTGACACTTTATGGACCTCAAGCAACAACAAAATGCATGTGTTTGTTGTATTCGCTCTAATGCTGCTACCTGTTTATTGTACCATGATCAAATACAATAACAAGAGAGAGCAAAAAAAAAAATGAAGTGAGCGAGATGAGAGGAATGAGAGAAATATGTAGCAATTCCAACAACAAAACATCTAGCACAGGGTCGCATTTATCTTGCTTTGCTCTTTTGCCAAACATATACATGGGTTTTGACGTTGCATATTTTGCAGCGATAGGAAAGGTTGTTTCCCATGTATTTTGTTGTTGTGTGTTTGCAAGTTATGCAATCCGTGCTACGTGCAATGGCTTTGCTCGATTCGGAGAATACCCCTATTGTGTTGTTGTTCTTTGTTGATTTTGTCTTTTGGTTTGCTGAAAATTGTGCTTAGTGTGTAGTTTGTTCTGTGGGCAAAGGTTATCTCCCTTTCCCTGCATTTGTACAATATATTATCTACATTTAATTTTTTGTAACATTGGAAGAGTGCTATTAAAAATCTTATTAATATTTTTGAAAACAAATTAAACTTTTTGAAGTTTTGGAATGTCCCGAATAGCTAACATAAATTTCAAAATCGAAAACGTTTCAAAAATATTTTTAGAATTTAATTTAAAAATAGACTATTTTATAAAATTCCAGTGACACGCAAGTTTTGGTAATTTACAAAAAAACCGGGAAGGTTTATTAAAACGGGCCATTTGTATTTTATATTGTAATTGTATCTGAAATTTTTCAAAATTTCCTTATATAATTCTCTAATCATGGAGAAAAATTTAAAATTTTTAATGCAAATTTTAACTAAAGATACTTAGAAAGATTTAAAATATTTATTCCAACTTATACATAAATAAGTTCATTTTCAATGAAATAAAAGTTTTATTCCGCCAACCGTAGTGAAATATTTATTGAGTTTTCTTGAGCGCTTTTACCCCTTTGCGGACTTTTGTACAATATATTGCACAAATTTGAGGTAGCCCTAATTGAATATTTTTTTACTTTTATTATAATGAGGCGCTATGAACCTCGTAATTAAGAGGAAAAATTTTAGTATTCATCAGGGACGGATTTGACCGGAAAGGGTTATATTTGCGTTTCGAATGTTTTTGTATAATGTTTTATTATCCGTTAATCCATGTATAGATATGACTCCCGCGAATTTTTTACGTTCATATTTATTTACTGCTTCAATGCTCATGCCTTACTTTCGTTTGTTTGTTGTTGTTGCTATATGCTTATTTATGACATTATTAGGGTACCCGTTTTTGTGTAATATGTTATTTATATTTCTGTTGTTTGCATTTTGCAGCAGTGTTCCTCTTTTGCGTCCAGGGGTGATTCGAGTGGTAATTAATCATTCTGGAGGAAGCTACATCTTTAGTATACCAATTTGTTAACAAATTTTTTTTTATATTGTATATTTCCATGTCTAGGAAGGCTAATTTTTGTTTTTCTTAAACCTCAGTCGTCCACGTCAGTTTTATTTACAATACAATGTCTAGTATTTTGTCCAAAACAATATCTGCTACAATCGGCGATAGAGGGTTTCCCATTGGCATTCCATATACCTGTTGGTAATACGTACCATCACAAACAAAATAGTTGCTGTCCCGTAAGCAGAATTCCAAAGAACTTAAAAATTGTTTTCTTGAAAGGCTTGTATGATTTTCCAAGCACGGCCCTTGCTTCATAATTGCATTCATTGCTAGTTGTACGGGAATATTGGTAAATAGGGACACTGCACCAAAAGATATAAGGATTTCATTTCCTTCGATTTTTATGTCTTTTAGCCGTTCTTTGAGTTCAAATGAATTTTTTGATGTTATATTCTTTGGAAATTAGTGGTTTAGAGTTTTCCTATGAATTTAGAAAGCTTGTAGCAAGGTACATTTGTTGAAGAAGAAATTTGCCTAAGAGGAGTATTTTATTTGTGTATCTTTGGAAGGCCATATAGTCTGGGAGCTGTAGCTGCAGTGCTTGTCAATTGATGTTTCTGTTTGATGTCAATATTTCTTTGTTTTTAAATGTTACTAGTTATATTGTTATTTTTCCCTAATAATTTTTGTGGTTTTTTTAAATTTTTCTTTTGGGTCATTTGTAAGTTTGCTTTTGTACCCATGTAGTTACATTGCTATGTTACTTTTCGCCATGTCCTTTTCTCTTTCATCGTCTAGTGCCTGGATACCTTGTTCAATTTCGGCAATAAAATTCATGGGTGAAAACGTTTTGTTCGTTGCCGGTAATGCAAATGTTTTCACCATAGAGAGAAGCCACCTGCTTTCTTTTGGAATAGATACTCTTCATAATCAGAAATATTTTGCTAAAACTCATGTTAAGTAGTAAATAAGTATGGCAAAGCAACTTTTTGCAAAAAGCTACTAAAAAGATGCGAGCCCGAAAGAACAACTGGTACGATGAGGAGTGTCAGGAAGCTGCAGAGAAAAAAGATGCCGCCTACAGGGCCACGCTGCGATCGGGCGCAACGCGCGCTATGTGGGACCGCTATAGGGATCTGAAGAGGGAAGCGAGACGTATTTGCCGCAACAAGA